CCCTAAATGACAGGAAACCTAAAAAACAGAAGGATAACTTGCTTATGAATCATAGAATGGATAAGAAGGATAGAGTCTCTTCACACAATAGAAAGCTACCCAGCTATAAAGTAGGATAATCTCAAGGCTCTTGGAGGTAAATGGATTCTACTGGCGATCATGCTCATGAGCAAAAGACTTTGACCTCATATAGGTGAACACTAGCATAAAAAACAAAAGGAGTTAGTGGGTTCCAAAAAACACAATAGATATAAAAGTGATAGGGGAGAGAACACCCAGGAGGGGAAGGTGGTAACCACTGATAATTTTTTATTGTCTTGTCATGAACTCTGGTATAATTTTCACAGATTTTTTAGGTTTAGTTTTGTTCTGTCTTGTTTGGTTAGATTTTACTGTGTCTGACGGTATGAGCAGCTATTTTGAACATAATGAGATATATTATGATAACCATTGTTGGTTTCCTATTATCTTGTTTTGAAGTCTCATAATGCTTTCATTCTTTTGTTTAATTGGTTTTATTGCTTTGTTTTGTTTGATTTTATTTTATGTGAGGGCATGAACAGCTATTTTAAGAAAACGAGACACTATGGTAATCATTTTTGATTTCCTATCATCTTGTTTTGAAGTTTTATAATATTTTTATTCTTTTGTTTTGATTGGTTTTGTTCTGTTGTGTTTTATTTGATTTCATTAGGTGTGATAGTGGACAGCTATTTTAAAGAAAGTGAGACACGATAGTAGCCATTCTTTATTTCCTGTTACCCTGTTTTGAAGTCCTGTCATGCTTTCATTCTTTTGTTTTGATTGGTTTTAGTCTGTTTTCTATTGTCTGATTTTATTATGTGTGAAGGTATGGACAGCTATCTTGGAGAAAACAAGAGACATTATGGTAGCCATTGTGGATTTCATATTGTCTTATTTTTTACTCCCATAATACTTTTATTCTTTTGTTTTGATTGATTATGTTCTATTTTTTGGTTGATTTTATTGTGCACAAAGATATGAACAGCTATTTCAAAGAAAATGAGAGCCATTAAGTTAGCCACTACTGATTTCTTGTTGTCTTGTTTTGAAGTCTTACGTTGCTTGCATTATGGTGTTCTGATTTGCTTTGTTCTGTTTTGTTTTATTCAATTTAAAATAAAAAATTTAAAAAATAAAACTAATTGGTGAATTCAGCAAGATTGCAGAACTCAGATAAATATACAACATTCTAATGCATTTCTCTATATTAGCTATTAAAATGTGGATACTAAAATTTAAAATGAAGTATAATTTATAATATCAAAAATAGATATAAATATAACAATATATCCATGACAGGTACACTGAAAAGTACTTGGCAGTACTGAAATAAAGAAATTTAACTAAATAGATATACAGTGTTCATGAGTTGGAAGATTCAGCATCTTAAAGATGTCATTTCTCTCCAGATTGATCCACAGGCAAATATAATTTCTGTCAAAATCCCAGCAAAAATTTTTTGTAGACGTGGTCAGTAGTATTATAAAATTCATGTGTAAAGTCAAATAAATAATTTTGAAGAATAATAATAAACTGAGACACACCAGTTTGTTCAGTTTCCAAACTTACAGCTCGGTTGTCATGACTGTGTGGTTGGTGGGAAGGCACATAGATCAGTGGGTCAGAATAGGCGATACAAAAGCAGACTCACGTGAATATTCTTAATTGCTCTTTTGCAACGATCATAGCAATTTGGTGGAGAAAAGGTAAGCTTTCCACAAATATAAGAATAGTTAGACATGTACAGGCATAAATAACCTCAACAAGAGTTTCCTGTCTATATAAAAATTAAATGAAATGGATATGAATTTAAATGTAAGAATAAAACAAAAATCTTTTAGAAAAAAGACCTTCAGCAAAGCAAAAAGTTCTTAGATCAACATCAAAACTGCAAAATCTAAAATTAGTAAGTTATGTTTCATCAGAATTTAAAACCTTTGCTCAACAATTGATCTAATTAGTAGGATGACAGTATAATCTATAGAACGTAAGAAATCAAGCCACATAGTCAACAAAATCACTTACCATGTATGATGGATCTTTTATTCTGGGGTTATAATTGTTTTGTTTTGTTTATTGTTTGTTTAATGACCTGTGTCCCTGTTTCTGATCCATCCCAAGCTCTCCAAGACAAACGAAAATCACCTCTCAGTGTAAATCTACTCATCAGCTGTCCGCCAGCTCTATGTCCTCCTCAGTGCCAAGGAACCTCTGTCTCCTGCTTCATTCTTGATGAGTTGGTTTTATAGATAGTCTACATATTTGTCTTGCAAGGACATACTTTTCTCATTATCTTATAATTTCCTTTATCTCTTTTCTTTGATATATCCCCCTTTTATTCTTCTTGGCTTCATTTCTTGTTTTTTTTTTCTTATTTCTTCTTATTTCTTATTTTGGTAACCTACCTCCTTCAATGCTTTCCTGGCTAAAATTTAAAAGATTGAAACTGCCAGGGTATCATCCAGGTTTGTAGAGCAAGGAGAACACTTGTACAGTGCTAGAGGGTGTGCAAATTAGCAAAATCACACTGTAAACTGTCCATGCACTATCTATGTGTTGAAGGTCTCCAGAGACCCAGTAGCTTCATTCAGTGTGCATACTATCCCCTGAACCAAGAGACAAGTGTCATAGCTGCATTAGTCTCAGGTGCCCAAAACTGGCAAAATCCATCAGCAAGGAAACTGGCATGTAAGTGGTGGCATATTTATGCAATGTAAAATGATGTAGTACAAAACTACATCTACCTGCAACAGCATGGCTAGACAAAGATGAAAAGCTCAATGGCTAAAATTAGATAAATTGCTCCATAAACAAAAGGAGATACTGTTTCATTGCTTACCCCATAGACAGAAATATTTACATCTAGTGTGACCAAGTATTGGTAAGAATGAGGGTCACACTGTGTGCCTATACCTATTGGTGAAAGTATGATTTTTTTTTGAAATATTGGAAAACAATTTGACCTATCTTGTAAATGTTGTATACCATAGGGCAAAGCTCGAGCGTGTTCCTTAGGTTTCCTTCTGGGGCCCAGATTGGAGGACCGCCAGCTCCCTGGAGCCTGGTTGTCTTAGTTACTTTTTCTCATTACTGAGAGAAAATACCCAATACCCAAAATTAAAGGGGAAAATGTTTATTTGGTTTACAGTTGGTAGAGATTTGAGTCCATAATTGCCTTGGCTCCAAGGCAGGGTGATGGGGCAGACAGCATCACAGAGGAGAAATAGTTCGTGACAGGCAGAACATAGCAAAGCAAGTGGGGACGACCACAGTTCTTTCTATCCCTTATAGTTTATCCAGGATACTTGGAGCAGGTAGCACTCACACTTAATCCTAGTGCCCTTGATTCCTAGCATTGCACCATGAATCAATCTCAGTGGTACACCCTCTGGATCCAGCCACCTCTGAGAAAGCCCCAACTCTGACTGCACGAGGCTTTGGGGGACACCTAGACTCAAACCATAACAACGGGTGTGTCTTTCTTTGCTGAAGAACAATTTCTGGGACGAGGATGCAGAAATGTGAAGCCTATTGAGTCCTGGGCTCACAAGTTGTCACTTCTGCTCATATTCTGCTGGTGAAAATGAGTCACAAAGTCCACCTGACGTGAGCATGTTTAGGGACTTGACTCTTAAGCTCTTCTGCCTTGAAATGCAGGAAAGCTGAAAAGCACAGCATAGCACTCCTATAAAAGCAAAATGGAAAGAGCACTTTAAAAATTAAAAATACAGATGAGGACCAGAATATAAGAGCCAGTGGGATTATGATGGAAAGATTCTTTGGTGGGTGTTGTCCCAGCCAGCAAAGTTCCAGTGAATGCAAAGGCAACAGGAAAATCTAGGAACGTGGTCTTGAGTGGTGATGGAAGGGCTTCACCCAGAGTGTGCCCACTGATGGCCCTGTGAGTGATGACCCTTCTGAGGGACACCTCTGCATGTTATGGCTCTGAGGATGTTGTGTACCCCACATCCAGTATTTAGGATTGATAGATGCCCTGATACATAAAAGTTTGACAGCATCTTTCTTGATAATACTTCATACAACAAAAATCACTTGTGACAGTTATAACTGATCAATATTTGTCCAAAAATACTTATAGTTTGAGTTAGTGGGTATAAAATATTTGTCATTATTTATTAAAAAGTAGGGCATCTCCTAGTCTCTGGTATCATATGATGTGCTATTATGAATAAAATCCTACACTTAACCCATTTTATTTTATAGCTAGGGTCTTTGTTTTGTTGAATCCCCTTTCCTGTCAGGTACTGGCAATTGTAATATTTTCCTGACCACTGAGACGCTGGTCTGACAATATTTTAAAATGCTCAGAGTGCATTTCTTCCATCATTCTTAATTTTCAAAACTGTCTTTATTTGCTGAGTATTTATTGGGCATTTCCAATTCATCAGCACTGTGAATTCTGTAGTGTAACATATAACCATGGATAAAACAAGTGCCCACTGGAAGCAACGATGGAAAACCAGCCAGAGACTCCAGGAGCAGCTGGAGTTAGGTTTTAGGAGATGCACAGGAGTTTGATAGTCCATGAAGTAGGACAGGAAGCTTCTGACCATGACAGAAACATGAACCAAGGCTTAGCCACTTCTCCATGAGTTATTTTCAGATTACTTTTATCACTCTCTGGAACTTACAGTTTAGATTTCCTCACATGTACTTTTTTTCTTTTTTATTCATTGCTTTTTAAAATAAGGAATTGAAGTGAGTCTTGATGGTGTTTGCCTTGGTCAATAGAAATCACCAGGCTTTATTATTTAGCGATAACTGACATCAGATGTTTTCAACGGGGCCATCTTATTTATTTACTTTGTGCCCTAAGGATTGAACTTAGGACCTCAAAAGTGCTTTGCGTGTGTTCAACCACTGACCTTTCCCCCTTCCTTGTGTTGCTCACCGCTGTGTGTACTCCTGGGACCCAGTGCTTTGCTGACAGCGACTTGTCTGTGTCCTCTGTCTAGATCAAGTTTGACAGCGTGGAGGTGTGCGTCTGCTGTGAGCTGCAGCACCAGTCTTCCGGCTGCAGCAACCTCGGGGAGACCCTGAAGCTGAACCCGCTGCAGGAGAACTGCAACGCCGTGAGGCTGACCTTGAAGGTGACCCTGGGCACTGCTGCCCGTGCATGCACTTCCCCAGGCCTCACACACACTTTCGGGAGATTTACTAACCCATAGATTCCCTTCCTGGCATCATTCATCCAGGTGGGTGTGACAGCAGAGGAGGTACCGTTCCAGAGAGCACGTTAAGCTATGTAGGTCTTCATTTGGAAGGTGTTGCTCTCTGGATCTTGTCCATGTGCCGTTTCATTTCCCTTCCTCTGACACATGCAAAGCAGGATGTGAGTAGCTGACAGACTTCTTTACAAATGATGATGTGATACATCCTATTGCATTTCTGACATTTATACTGTAACATCATCAGCGAACAGATGGGTATTTATTTTGCTTTTAAAAAGATAATTTGAAAAAAATCTTATAATCCTCCATGGCAGTCTCTTCCCTTGGAAAAGCATCTGATCTTTTCAAAGAATGGACACAGAACTGATGTTTATATAATTGCCTTTTCTTTCTTTCCTATAAATGTGGTTTTTTTTTAATTCTCGAAAAAAACAAAATTGGCTGCTTTGAAATACATAGGAATGATGAGCCCAGTTCTTTCCTTTTAGCAGCAGTATATCTGTTTGAAAAGATGTAGAATGGTCAAATAAACTTCTGGGCGGGGGTAAAATTGTATTTACAGTACATAGTGAGCCCTCATGTGTGTGCAGGAAATAATACTATGTTAACAATCGAGGCTCCAAAGAGAGCCACCTGGACTCTGGAGAAAAGGCAGTGTTGCTGTCTGGCACTGAGTACCTGTGATTAGTCTTCTGAGGATGGTTAGCATCTATGAAACAAGCAGAGAAGCCCAGAGAGAGGGAGGCACCTGAGCTGGGAGGTAGGGTGGGCCTGGAGCCCTACACCTGCCTTGCTTTGCATTGAGTGGCTCAAGTTCAGGGTCTCAGCGGCCCCCACCAGAGCCACAAATCAGCAGGGCTGAGGGAAGCCAGAAGAGCAGCCCTCCAGGACCCCGTCCTGTCACGCTGCTCAGCATTTATTTCTCCCCCACATGACATATTAGCAGTTTATCACATGCCCCATCCTGGGGCTTCCCAGGGTCAGTGCCTGAGGCCTGCCCTAGCCTTTCACAGCCCTCCTGGGAAAGGTTGTAGACAATCATTCCTTACTTTGAGACCTCATTCTGACAACTCCTAAGTTATCTCAACACGGATATGTTTCTTTTTCATATTTACAAAACAAGACCATGCATAATTGTAATCACGATATAAACGTCTGTGTCCAGGAAGAGTTGACAACCGAAATTACCTGGCTCTCAAATCATTTGTGTGTGTTAATCTTTCTGTCATTATTTTTAAAATACCCCAGATAGTCACCTAATCAACTTACATGAAAAAAAGGGTGTTTTTTGGAAGATTGGTTTCATTTATTTACATTTTGCTCACAGTTTTGGAGGCTCTGATTCATGATCGAGTGGCCCTGTTCTGCTCTGTTCCTATGGGAAGGCGGCACATCATGGCAAGTTTACAATCAGTCAGGACAGCACAAGGCAGGGAGTAAAAGAGAGAGAAGAGACAGGACTACAGCCCCTCAGAAGAGGCATCTCCGCTGACATAAGGACTCCCACAAGGCCTCCGCTACCTCCAGATAGCATCCCTGGGGCCCAAGTCTTCAACTGGATCTTAGGGACACACATCCAAAGTGTAATGGTGTGGGATACAGGTTAGCCTGTAAGTTACCTCCTACTCTTCAGCTGATGGATTATAGAGTGTTCAGTGTGTTTCTCCAAAGGCTTAGAGTTCTCCTTGACATTATACTCAGTGAGATCCAAGACCCATTCCACGAATCTCCAGTCCCTGAAGAGGGGACAGTGGCTTGCAGGTGTTGGAAAAATAATGTCTCTACAATTACAGACTCGGGCCTAGGGTGACCAGGTGACCTTATGGTCTTACCCTTACACATTATTCCAGTCCCCTAATGAGAAAAGCTTCTGGTATGATGCAGCCAAAGTGGACTAAAGTGAGGAACACTGAAGTCAAGAATTTAAGTCATGGCTGACACATTGAGCCTAGAAAGTGGCTCTACTCAATGAATGTTCAAATTTGCCAGGACAATGGTAAGATGCTGAAGGCAAAATAAAGACTGTTCCAGTGTACTTCCTGAATTTGTGAGAAAAAATTAACTAGAGATAGTGACTGTCAAAGCTAGAGATAAGAGGCTCAAAGAAAGCCGAAATTATTGTTGTAGTGGAGGCCAGTAGTCTAGAGATAGAAGCTTAGGAGTTCAGGAAAGGGCCAGCCTGCCTCTAATCCCCTAGTGAGGGCTTAAACAGAGAGCCATGTGCAGTGGCTTTGGAGGTCAGCTCTGAGGTTTAGTTGAGATCCAGATAAGGAATTATGGTAAATGAGCATGTGTATATTGTTTGCTGCTATCCTCCTAGTTTGTTATGTTCCAGAAGTACTTTGGTTACCCTAGACCTTTCCTTGATTACTTTCCTCTTGTTGATCGAACAAAATACTCAACACCTAAAGTTAAGGAACGAAAGATTTATTTAGCTCACAGTTTGTGGAGGTTTCAGTCCATAATCAGCTGGCTCCACAGCAGGGCGCTGTGGCACTGGGGCAACATTTCATGGCAACAGAAGGCAGCAAAAGCACCAAGAGCCAAAGGGGAGGGGAGATAAGCCTCTTTTCCTCTCTTATATTGTAAGCAGGCTACGCCTCCACCTCCCACCTGTGAGTAGGTGTAAGTACTCACACCATCTGCATGCTTCCTCTTTACAGATGAGGATGTTTCAAACAAAGGACTCTGGCTCACTGCTGAGTCATTTAGATAAACTTCCAAACTTCCCAAGGTGACACAATGTATCCACTATTACAGGTCCTTTGCATTTCCAAACACATTTTGTATTGAGCTTGTCAGTTTCTGCAAAAATCCTGATGGAATTTTAATTGAGATTTCATGGAATACATGTATCACTTTAAAGAAATTGAGATATTCATAATATAGCTGACTATTTATTCAGGTCTTCTATTTCATGAGTATTTCTTTCTGTCTTCAGCATTGTGTCTTTTTCAGTAAATATGTCTTAACATACTTTGTAATATTTATGCTTAAAGCATTTCATATTTATTGGTGCTGTTTTTATGGATCTTTAAAATCATTTCTTATCCATTGAATTAGATTTTTTTCTGATGTTATATCATGCTATTTTGCTAAGCTCACGCATTAGTTCTCACAGTTCTTTTATTAGATTCTTCTGGATTTCCTGTGTATGCAGTCATGTGATATGCAAAGAGACAGTTTTGCTACTATTCTATGTTAGGGTTCTCCAGAGGGACAGAATAAATAAGGTATGTGTACATATAGATAAAGGAGAGGGGATCTATTAGAGAAATTGATTCACATGATTATGGAGACTGAGAAACCTGAAAGTAGTCTGTCTGCAGACTCTGGGTGCTGGTAGCCTGAATCAGTCCAAGTCCCCAGGTCTTAGAACCAAGGAAGCCAATGATATAGCTCTCGATCCAGAGCTGAAGGCCTCTCCACCCAGGGATCTTTGGTATAAGTCTTGGAGTCCAAAGGCTAGTGGTATGTGGAGTTCAGATGCGCCAGGGCAGAGAAAGAATTTCCAGGGGAAAGAGTAAAAGAATGCATTTTCTTCTGCCTTTTTTCTGTCTCCTCCCTACCCAATTGCTTGCTGTCTACCCATGTTCAGATTATATTTTCCCATTCAGTTCACTCAAATTCACACACAAGCCTCCTTTGGAAATACTCTAAGGCACACTAAGAAATAATGCTTTACTAGCCCTCTAGGTATTTCTTAAACCAGTATACTTGATACCAAAAATGAATCATAAGATGTACTTTTCAAAGATGCCCATTATCGGATTGTGAATGATCACTCCTATTGCTGATTTGTTGAGTATGCTTACTATGAATAAACACTGAATTTTGTTAAAGAGTTTTCTGCATGTTCTTAGATGTTCCTACACTTTATCTTTTGTGCTCTGGTAACGTGATCAATAATGTTGATTAACATCTGAATACTAAGCCAGCCTGATCATTTTTCTATCAGCTCTGAGTGAACCTGCCTATCAAAGGCATTTTTTATTTCTGTGACTATGTTTTTCATTTCTAGCATGTCTTCTTCATGACTTCCATCTCTCTGCCAAATGACTGAATCCATCTTCTGCATTGTCCTCCGCATCTACTAGAGCTGAGTCTGACTGTGTCTGCCCCAGATAAGTGCTCATGTGTTTCCTTGAAGGGTCTGTCTTTTCCCTAGTATTTAGATTAGTTGGTTGACCCACCCTCTCAGCTTCTGATGGGTCCAGACATAATTTCTGAATTGTCAATGTCCCGAGTTGTTCTTACATTCATGAGGCAATGCTCTTTCCAGCTTTCTGTACACTAAGTATGGAATCCTGTTCCATGTGATTTTTCTCTCAAGTACAGAATTCTTGAGGAATATTTTTTTCCATTTTTAGAAGTTTATAGATGACATCTCATTCTCTTTTGACATTGAATATTTACACAAAAGAGAAAGTTTTAAAATATTCCTTGAACGTTTTCCATTTTAGGTATCTTATGATCATTCATACTATTTTAAAATATTTTTATCTTTCTGACTTCCATCTACATTGTACAGTTACATTTCTTTGCCTTGATATAGTTGCTGAGAGCCACGAGAACAAGACTTTTATTTATCTCTTCTAGGCCAGGGTTTTCACCTGGGGTATGAGGTTCTTCAGAACTCTTTCCCTTTGGTACAGTAATTGCAAATTGTACGTGTGACTATGCCAGCAAACCTGGGTTACTACAATGAGCAGAGCCTCCTGCAATGTACACACAATAGGTATATAGAGCATTATGAGATAAAATTTTTAACCCACTGACACTTGGGGGCTATTTGTTACCACAGCATAACTAGCGCATTTGGTTCGGATTTCAATTGTGCTTATTTATCAAATTCATCAACTTTACTATGAAGTATCTTGATAATTATACACACATTATGAGTTGGCATCTTGCTACAT